ATGATAAAGCGAAAGCTGAAAAATTTTGTATAGTTTCATGGGAATTTCTCACTCATTATGAATTATATGATACAAAATGTACATGTAACTACTTTGTTATATGGGATCATTGAAATGTATAAATGTCCGTTTTTGTAGTTTTGTCTTTTTCTCGCATAATAAAGATAATAGGTTACCTTCATTTGGTGTATGCATAATATGTTGATTTCCGTCTGTCATTTTTCATCTAACCTTCAACACATTTGAGTGGTCAGTGTTTAGTTTGTGTGGCTCGGTCAGTTTCTCAACACAACAACCAACTGGTAAACACCATTGTATGTGTGTAATGCTTTTCAGGAGTACATGTCTATCTGGTAAAGTTCATCTGACATTGACCTTATTGTCATGATTCAATAAGTCAAAGTTTAGTTTTCGTGGTTTGGTTTATTTCTCACACACTTTAAGCATTATATCAACTATATGGTGTATGCGTTAGGTGTACATGTAAATCTGGCAGCTTTAATTTCATGTTTCATTGTAAAGTGTTCAAGTTTTCCTGATTAAGTCTAAAATTGAGAATGGAAACGGGGAATGTGTCAAAGAGACAACAACCCGACCAAAGAACAGAAAACAGCACAAGGCCACCAATGGGGCTTCAACACAGCGAGAAAATCCTGTTTATCAAATACTTTATGCAAGAGAATAATTTATGCAAGAGAATACTTTATGCAAGAGGTCAATTATAAATGACGTATGAAATAATTGTAAGGTGGAAATGTGCATATCAGTCTGGTAGGATCATTTGACCTTGACCTCATTTTCATGGTTAATTGGTCAATGTTTTCATTCTAATGTCAGTTTCTTATATACTATCATCAAAAGGTAATTTACATTTGATGAATGAAATGATAGTATTATGTCCGTCTGGGAGGGTTCACCTGGCCCGAACCTCATTTTAAGGGTTCATTGGTCAATGTTTAATTTTCAAGTTTAGGTTTGGTTCTCATATACTATAAGTCAACTATATATGTTGTATGATATGATTATAATGTGTATATGTTGGTCTGGCAGGTTTCATATGACCTTGACCTCATTTTCATGAGTCATTGTCAGATACAAATGGCAATAAGTTAAGTATATTTTAGAAATAGATTAAACGTGGTTGCTAGGTGTATAAATCCCAGTTTAGTTTAAACATATTTTATTTGCTTAAATATGCAAAAGAGATGAGACACAGGTTATTCAAACTTTAAAAAGTATGCGTATTCTCCGATACATGCCATTCTGGCATGGTTCACATGACTGTGTCTTCATTAACAAGGAGCATGGATAATTTTAAATTTATGTGATGTATGTAGTTAACCCTTATTCCTAAAGACTTTCAAAATAAATTCAATCATGATCAGCAAAGCAGGCGAGACATTTCATCGTGTGCACTCTTGTATATTTTTCGGATGTATGGGGGCAGCATATCAACAGAAAGGCAATCCAATCGATCTATTTTCCACTATAAAACTACACGGACAAATCATTTAAATTTTAGAACAATCTTAATTCAAGAACGTCATTCAGTTTAACGAGGACTCAGTCCGTTGATCTGCCTGTGTATAAATATAAATATAATAAGATGTGGTAATCAGACAATTCTCCACCAGAGACCAAATGACATAAAAGTTAACAACTATAGGTCATATGAGAAATGTCCGTTGATCGAGTATTCTACGGGTCCGTTGAAATTAAGTAAGTCGTAAAGCATTGCTCTTTAGTAGATTGACTTTTTTAGATTTTGTCGTAAACTTGTTGTTTTTCACAAATGAAATTGGGTATTTAGCAAAATGGTTCACCAACACAAATAGAACAACGGGAAGATTAAAAGTTAACTATCTTTAATCTCTAAATAAAAGTGAAAGGTGACAGGAAACTCTTTTAAATCTTCATAACAGTCTTTTTACAAATCTAAGATAAAATAAGTAAAGCGGATATTATCATCGAAATGTGCAACTTAACCTGACAAGAGCGCCGAAGAAACTTAATGTCATCCTGAACAAAGAATGCAAAATATAACATTTTTTTTTTATTAGATTACTTGTAAAATTCCGTTCATGAGTAAATTGCATTCAACTAAGTCCGTTGACAAATTGTTACCATAAAAATCTTCGTTAATTTGATAATCAAAGTTTCTTATTTTTAGTATTTTAGGTGGTTAAATCAGTCCGTGTACAATTAAATATTATATGAAATACAATGAATATTCTTAAGGATTCATTACCACGTCAGGAACATGCCTACCGTGTGTCCTCTATATATATACGAATATGTTCAGTTCTTTGAATTCTTCTTTTATAAAAACAAAAGATGCTTCAATCTCTCTTTTAATCGAGAAAGACGATTCAAAGATAGAATTTGCTATAAAATGCACAAACAGATTTTAATTGTTCTACTATCCACCGATATCGGTATTAATGACTATCACACTAAATGAAAAATAAATGGTATATTATTTTTTTTATTTAACAAAACCTTTGACCAATTTATGCCATGCAAATCTTTGGAAGAAGGTGATATATAATCTTGTTCCTTTATCTTTTAGAGATGAATTGATGTTGGGAAAACAAGTATATTCTGACAAAAATATAACTAAAGATGTACTTAAAGAAATAAGACAAAAGTGTAGATTCTGTCTTATTATGATGTGATGGCATAAATCTTCGCTAAGAAAAGTTTCAGATAAAAAATGACCGATTCTGTATTGGAGCATAACTAGGCACCGAATATTCATCTTTTGTGGGGCATGAGAACCAAAAAGACTCCAACTTTCTCATTGTAAAGTTTCCATCTTAATGTAGCAAAATTCCGTGAGCTCCTGTATATATATCAAAAAGTCGCCCGGTCGATACCAACCATTATTCCCGTAAAAACGTGTGTACCATACCAGATTTTTTTAAAGGGGATATATATCTTGTTATGGTTTTTAAAGTTGTTTTTTTTTTCGCTGGCTTAGGGAGGGCTTTGTTTTGTTGTTGGCTTTCGGGGATAAGGCAAATTTTGCCTGAGACAGGTCAAATATATGCTGGGTATTTTGCACCAGGTGAAGCCGCCCTAATACTTTAACAATAGTCATAAGACTATCTGCTCACACAATGATACTATACATTTTCTCCCTTCCCTTAATTTCATCGTAACTGCAACATTGTTTGTAAAGTTCATCTTGATTGGGAATCGCCACAAATTTCAGGGCACCAATTCAAAGAATAATGGTTTGAAATTGTGATTACTAGAGCAACTTTTACTTAATGTGCGTCTTTTAACTGTTAAAAAGTTTCAGCGGACAACATGTTCATACTTTGATCAGAAAAATGGGTTCTCGAACCTAGCAACTATGCAAACACAATAATATGTTTTCTTTTACATGATCATACGCTGTATAACTGGCTCTATACGATCATGTTTTCAGAGTGTCAATCGCACAGTCTCCTGTGAACAAATTTGTATATGCACATTGCTGTTTAAAAACATTATTAACCACGACTTCATTCATACATTTTTGTATTATTCAAAATTATCAGTCTATATGTGTTCTACAAGGGTACCCAATCCTTCACCTTTCATTTGATACCTTAATTACTAAAATGTATTGTAAATAGTTTGATATTTACACCTATGCGTACGAACTATTTTGTTTTAAATATGTACTACTTTCAAGTATGTTCTCGGGCCCGATTTGGTGGTGTTATATCTTACAAAGTCTGTCCGAATCATTTTGCAAAGAATTCCGCTCAAACCGGTGCTAGAGACCGTCTTAAACTTGCAGTGAGGTGAGAGTAATTTTTGTTCCGTGTTGAAGGCCTCACTGTGACTTTCAGATGAAGAACAGCAATAAAAGCGCTGTTCCTTTACATTTTGTTTGTTTTTTGCTGTGCATGTACTGTTTTTGTGTTATGAATGGATACCCCCACATCCTTTGTTTTTCTATTATATAAACAGATTTCTTCTTTAATGAAAATTTCGGTACACTGCAGTACGGCAATGATGCTTCACACATTTCTGTTCTATTGATTCTCATTGGAAATTATCATTTTTTTTCTTATATGTTTTTGACTGTTTTAACCTGTTTATTGGACATGATAATGAATATGTGAAAACTTGTCAATGTTTTTCTTTTTATTTTGTGTCCCTTTTAGATCTTAAGTTTGTTTTCAAAATTTAATCAAAATAGCGGTTGTTGTACAATGTTAACTTTAACTTAAGGATGTTCGCTCTTGTTTTTGAGTTTTTGTCAGATATTCGGAATCCTCTAGTTTTATCCATGTAATGCCATCAAATATTTTTGCCCACTAACCTCTACTCTTCTCTCTATAATATGATTACATATAGTTTAAAATGTCATCTTTGAATGGCTTATATCTCGAAAACAAGGACACAGACCCTACATTTTTTTCTGATTTTTTAGTTTCTATATTTATATACTATCAATTTATAACAGTCTTTCAAAAAGCTTGTTAATTTGAAACAGAGGAGCGAACATCCTTAATTTTCTATTCTGTGTTCAGGAAGACCCTGTTCCCAAAACTTTAAGTAGCATTCCGAAAACCTTTTTATGAATGCTCAATGTTTAAGGTTCTTATCAAGAACTCTAAGCCGCTACTGTTGACTTACTTGATGTTTTGTTAACATGCTTTGCCAAGTCTGTCTATTGACTATAATTACGAACTCAGTTTAATGATCATTATCAGCTATAGAAAAATGCAGACAACATTAGCACAGCCATATTTTTGTTGTTTTAATAATTTTTTCAATTTTTAATCAAATATTCATATTTGATTAAAAATTGAAAAAATTATTAAAACAACAAAAATATGGCTGTGCTAATGTTGTCTGCATTTTTCTATAGCTGATAATGATCATTAAACTGAGTTCGTAATTATAGTCAATAGATTAAGATAAAAATCATCACTATAAAAAAAATCAGGTATGAACCAGTGAGTTGATATACAGAAATGACAATATAATTTCTGTTTCAGATATTGACGAATGCGCAAGAGATATTGATAATAATTGTTATGACAGTACTTTATGTACTGACACAGATGGTAGTTACGCATGTAATTGCCCACCTGATTTTGAATTGAAAGCCGATGGAAGAACATGTCAATGTAAGTATTTGTATCAATTTGTACATTTTTGCAATTAAACTTTAGTGAGTCCTTCAATCAACTTTTCACATTTTGATCTTTGATATTTTTTTTTTCGGATACTTTTTCGCGTTTTGACTTTTCTAGCCCTAAGACGATTTACTTTCGCGATTTTCCAACGTTTTTATTACATTCATATACAATAATATCAAAAGATTGATATCGGAACGACGATTTATATTCGCGTTTTTTCGACCTAAATGTTGAGAAAATAAACTGCTAGTGAAAATAAGTTAGTAACAGTGTATCTTTGCAGGACTGTCATTCTGTCGAAAAGATTTTTTTCATGAATTCTTAAACAAATTGAATATCTGATGGTCGTTGATATAAGAATAAGAAGATGTGGTATGTTTGCCAATGAGACGACTCTCCACCACATACCACATGAAGTAGAACGTAGAAGTTTATCTATAGTTCAGCGTGTGACCTTTAACAATTAGCAAAATCCATACCGCATAGAAAGCTATAAAAGGCCACGAAATGACAAATGTAAAACAATTCAATCGAGAAAACTTATGGCCTGATTTACAAAACAATAAATGAAAAAAAAAATTATATACAACAACAAATAACAACGACTGAATTACATGCTCCTGACATGGTACAGGCACATACAGAATGTGACGGGTTTAACACGTGTGCAGGCGCCAAACCCCATCTAACCTAGAAAGTAGTGTAACAGTATAACATCAAAACCAACTAAAACAATCAGTCGAAAAGGGCTTAACTCATCAGATCGATACAAAGCACAAAAAATACAAAAAAAACAAAAGACGCAAAGTATGAATATGAGAGTACTCGCAGTTACTGACATCTATTTCTAAGCCAAAAATAACTAATATTCTGATGTAAAGACGTCATTAACAGTCAGAGAAACTTGTGCAATGCCAAAATATAGATATCTACAGATTGTAGGACCGTGAATGCACATATGTGTATAACAATAATATTTAGTTTTGTTTTAATTTACTAATGGCAAAATCAATAGGTATACCGATAAAAACAATATTCAAATTGACATGTATTACGATCGGTTTCATCGAGTGAAAAGCACGAAAGAAAGCACAGACCAAGTGAACGTTATCTATAAAAGTAACCAACAATTCTTTAAAAGCCAAAATAACTTAAAAGTGCCTTGACTGAATTTTGATTGAAATTACAAATATCTGCATGTATATTTCAATCGAATTCAACACAACTTATAGTGCTTAAATTTCTAAGCAATTAATGAGAAATTCAATATGACATGAGTTATTAATTGTGAAAAACATATAAAAAAGAGTATTTTTGTTTCAGCATTACATAAATGTGAACCAAATAATGGCTGCAGTGATACATGTAACAGAATCAATGGAACAGATACTTGTGCATGTCCTTCGGGATATGAATTAGATTATTCTGAGATAATCTGTCGAGGTATTTTTTTATTTTTTTTATTTCTATGTCATTGCCCGACAAGGACATTGCTCATTTTGCCTTTGATCTGTCAGTCCAAAGAGTAAATAGAAAACCACTTTTCACCTTTACTTTGACAACAAATTAAAGCTTTGTCCCATTGATTGATCATATCACTGACAGATATTGACCTAACTCAATGATATTGTATGGCACTAGAACCGCCTCGATGGTCTAGTGGTAGCTTGCCGTGGGTTCGATCCCTAATCATATCAAATCAAAGACCTGGAAATTGGCATTTGCTGCTTTACCGCTGAGCACACAGCATTAAGAAGTAAGAGTAAAGACATGTTAACCCGGAGCCAAAATAGAATGTCTTCCTGCGATGTCGTCATCATCATCATCGAACCCTGCACTAAAAGAACAGACCATGTTAAAAATAAACAGGCTATTAAATATCAATTGAGTATGGCTTCCATTGCGTTTGCATTTTTAGCAGTATCCCATAATCAACACTACACAGGTATACTAAATGTTAAACTTATGTTAGGATAATAATTTTAATTTTATTTCAGATATTGATGAATGCAGTAACAGCAGTTTAAACAACTGCAATGCACAAAACAATGTCAACTGTGAGAATCTAAATGGTTCCTATGTCTGTAACTGTATTAACTCATCTTACACATCTATAGAACAGTACAAATGTGTTGGTTAGTATTTAGAATATGGTAATAATTTTAGAAGTCGAGTATAAATTATGTCGATGAAACAACAACCCCGCCACATAATGGAAACTTATTTAAATGCGAATTGAAAAAAGCCCCTGCCGTTTGCTTCATAAGCATCAAGGAAAAGGAGAAGAACAGTTTTCAACTATTTTTGAATGAGTTATGCCCCATAAACATATAAATTCTATCTAAAATTGCAATGTCATTGATGTCAAGCCTATATTTCTTGTAATTATGTCGAAAACTAGCGCTAATCATTCTTTTATAGGTACTATGTCCCTTTGGGATGTGAATTCAAGGTGATATTGCAATTTAAGCGCTCTCAAGCACTTTTATCAGAATTTTATGAAGATTTTAATCATCAGTATCGAACAAATTTTTTTACAGGAGTAAATAGAAATTATTTTGAAAATTACATGGTATCTATGATATGGTAATGGTACGCGATCGCACACCTACATCTAGTAGAAATGTATCAAAACGTTTAGAAGAACAAAAACAAAGTATATTTGAGTTATTACCCTTGGACAGATAATATATGTGCACCACAACGGGACATTTGAATGATGTTCTTTTATTGTTATAAATGTATACTTTTGGTACAGCACGCGTGAAACGACTAGAACAAATGTATTTGCTGTTTTGATAAATTGGTATCTCGTAACATTTGAATGTACATATGTCTGCTGCACAAAAATACACCAATTAGATATGTAAAGAACTTAGTAAAACTATTAATTATCACTAAGTAGATATTTGTTTGATGATATTATCTTCGTTCGTTTTGTGATCTTTTTAGCTTCATCGAGTTATTGACGAAGGTAGAATTGTTAATGTTGTTGTTTGATAATTGCAGCTGGTATTTCCATATTTATTTAAAAACATTTAGGGGTTGTGCACCAGAAATCTAACTTTTAATTAAATAAGATTAACATCCCTCTTTTATTTTGTTATAACAGTTCAAATTATATAATTTTATCCATATTGAATTCATGCAGTGTTTTAAAACTTAAACCTAATGTAAAACAAACAATTTTGAGATCAGTAAAATTCTTCAAGTAGATGTTACGAAATAGATTTATCTAAAACATTTTGATGATCTATACATGTACATACATTATGTGTATTCATCATTGATTATTGTTCCCGACTAACATGTTTGTTAGGAGACTTATGAATTTCTTTTAAGATTCTCAATATCCTCTAATATTTAAGAAAGAAATTGTGATGAAACTCCAAATAATTACATCATAAAATAATTGTTGAGGTTCACGTTCTTGTCTATGTTTTCGATAAGACTGATTTTCGGGTTTTCTATAGCAAAGCAAAATGTCACACTGTTAACACTGAAATAGGAAGAATCGTGACAAAAGTACACTTTAAGTTGCACCAAATGCACATATGCTTTAAAGTTTTCGATATCAGAATATTTTTTTTGTGGTTTTCACATTGTAATACAGGGAGATAGTCGTTAATTAGATAGTTTGTCAACATACAAATGTTAAAGGGGCATTAGCTACGAGATATAAAAAAATCTAAAATATGATTTTTTTTTGTTCAATCTTTAATGAAAGTGAAAAGTGAAATAATAATTTGCTTTTAGCAGCCAGTTTGGTTCAATCTTGTCAAAATAAGCAAAGAAACATCGCTGATGAATTATTCACTTGCAAATGAATAATTCGACCACATTGAATCCGTATTCATGTGACCTTCAATTTAATCCCTTAGCTACAGTTGGGTTACGCATGAATTAAGCGTGTTCAGTTATAAAAAAGAAAAGAATGTCAACATTGAAAGTGAAACAAGGGCAAACCATTTGATTAACTGATTCGATCCACAAAAACTCATTCTAATACAGGTAAACACGATGATTAGAATATATTTGTAACCTTTAATATGAAATCAAACAGACCTAGAAAAATCCAATTGCACGAGTTCGCTGTCTATTTATATCAATATCTATGTTTAAATCGGGTTATATCACCGTCGACAGTCTTCGGAGGTCACCTCGATAGTTAATTAGATGGCGTCTAGACTAAAATACACACGAAATTCTGATACATATTATCGAGCCCATGCATTGTAAATTGTTTATTTTAGACTTTTTATAACTTGGAAATACGTTTTAGTATGTTATAATTCAAATATGTGAATTTGAGTAAAATCGGTGATCATGAATTTGACAGCTAATGCCCCTTTAACAATATTATAACACTCATTTATGACTTTCCAAGTTACAATCAAATCAAACATTTTTTTCACTTTTTGTTTTATTTTACCCGAATCAGGGATGTGTATTGTAAAAAAGTGTCAACAAAAATATGTTTATGGGGAGATTATGGGTAGAATGTCAGTATTGTTTACAATTTCATTATATATTCGTTACAAACAGTGAGTTTCATACGACCTAGATGAAAACATGTGCAAATCATGAAGTAATGATATTTTGTCAGTGCGCACATTTAGGATAGTGACGATTTGGTAAACTTCATTTTACATTTCATACAGAAATGTTGGGATAAAAGGCAGCGTTACAAACTTAATGACCATAGTTGACTGTTGCATCATTTGGGTCCAGACCCTAGAAACTTAAAAATAGGAGAATAATCGTTTTTAATTAAACAATTCTTAAATAATGCAGGTGGGTAAAGATGCGCAATTCATTTCAGGTAGGCGGTAATTGTAGCCTCTTCCTCAATTCTTCTGCCCATATCGTAAACTTGGATATGTATGATGACTCGGTTCGAAACTGAGACATTTTCACGTATGTGGTTAAATTTTCGGGGTAAAAATTCCTTTTTTTCACACAATAAGTTCTTTGA